GGAAGGGGGAGGGGAGAGGACGAGGGGAGGGGGCGAGGGGATGGTAGAGAGGGAGGGCGGAAGGGGGGAGGGGTGAGGAGACGGCGTGAGGGGGTGAAGAGCTGAGAGGGCCGGGTGAGGGGAGGGATGAGGGGACGGGGCTGAGGAACTGGGGCGAAGGTCCGGCGCGAGGCGGTGGGCACAGTCGGGGGCGCCGTGGCCCGGGGCTCGGGGCGCGCAGGCAGCGCCCGGGGCCCCAGGCGGGCCGGCCTCGCTCACCTCGCGCTCAGCCCGCGCCCGGGTCCAGCCGCTGCCCCTGCCGCGCACGGAGGCAGGAGGAGGCGCCCGCGAGCGGCGCCCCGCCCTTTTCCGTTACCAGGCCCGCCCTCCGGGGCTGGCCCTCGCCCTCATTGGTTGCCTCCCGAGCGGAAGGGGCGGCCCTTCCCCGCGGTCTGGCACGTGGGTCTCCCAGCCCCGAACTGCGAGGGCGCTGGGGCCGGGGGCCTGGCGCGGCGCCGGGGACAGCGGGCCCCTCCCCTCGGCCGCTCAGCCGTCAGGCGGCGCCCTGGGCCGTCGGCCTTCCCGATCTGTGTCTCGCGCCCTGGAAGCACTTGGCGCGGAAGGTGTAGGAACTTCGTTGGACTAGCAGCTGAGAGCCGACTGCTCCGTCCTCCCCGCTGGCGTGCGCCGCCGACACAGTTGCATCTCTGCTGTTGGGGAACCAAGGCCCGCGGCCGCCCGGCCGGGAAGCGCGAGCACTAGTTCAGCCCAGGTGGGCCTCCAGGCCGCAGAGGCACAAATCCGAAAGCCGGGAACTGGGGCGGGGGGGCGCTGCACAAAGCCCCGGCGGAGGGGAGGCTAGACATCGCTGCGGCCCCCGAAGGCCTCCCAAGGAGCGCAGCCTCTGCCTGGGGGCGATGGCGTCTTGGAGCTCGGTGAGCAGGAGTGGCAGGTGAGGAGGGTGCCCTGGCCGCTGGAGGGAGGCTGAAGGTGAAGCCGGCTGCTGCTGCCACTGGGCGAGTGGTGGTGGTGTGCACAGGCAGTGGTGTCGCGGGAGGGAAGCACGGAGCCGAAAGCCGTTCAGAAGGCAGCCCTACAGGGCTCGGTCATATGGAAGTGAGAAGAACGTGGCTGGAAGGTGCTGCCACTGGCCTAGATGGGGAGGGTTGTTCGTGGGTCTTGAATACCTTGAACACCTGTGTTTGAGGTTCCTGACAACGCTGGGACTCACTGAATTTTCTCCCAGGGACTCCAGTCCTGTGTAGACTGACTGCAGAGCAGGAGCTGAGCCAGATAGTCTGGGCACAGAGCAGTAGCCCACCTATTGAGTCGGCTGCCGGCCCCTCCACCTCGCTCTAGATTCCTGCCCCTTCCCTTCCAACCCTGGTCTCTGGCCGTCTCTTTCTAACTCTAAGCCACGCTTCATACTTGCAGTCATTCTGGCAATTGCTTGGCTGCCCAGAGTTTATTTCTGTTACAGCATCGCAGGAAAACATGAGTCAGGAAACTCGGACGGGTAATGAAGGCAGCTTCAGGGAAGAATAGGAGCTTACCAGGTGGAGAAAGGGACCAGGATTCCAGGCAGAAGGTTCAGTGAAGGCAAAGCAGGGGTGTGGATGGGCCTGCCTCCTTTAGGGCACGGGGAATACAGCTGGGGCTCAGGGCTCCTGGGGAGGGGCAGAGCTGAGCGAGAGACCAGTTGGGCTGGCATGTGAGGGGCCTTGAGTACAGTGCCCAGAAGGTGGAGGTGGGCTATCTGAAACACCCTGCAGAGCCCAGGCCCAAGAAAGCTTTGATAAGGAATGGAACATTTTATGAGCATAGATGTACTTTTACAAGCTTTTCATGGAGACTCCAAAGAGATCAGGGGCCTCTGCCCTAGAAATCCTCTCATGTGCTCTCAGGGTTTTAACTACCTTCAAAGCTGTTACCAGGAGCCTAGATCGCCTTAGGTTTCAATTATGTTTTCAAGAGTCTGCGAGACAGTTCATGAAGTTCTTAGAGGCATGTTCAAACTTGACATTAAAAAATCACATTTCATACCCCGTCTCCCAGAATAGAAAACTGGAATTATCTTCGATGCTCCCTGTCAGGTGTGTCAGTTCTACTTCAACATTCTTACTTCCTGATTCTCCTTAGTTTAAGTCCCTTTGTTTCCTCCAACTCACCGCCACTTCGAGCAGGACCCTTTGACAATAATGTCATCCTGATTAGCCAGAGTGATTCCATTAAAGGTGGGAAGGTTATGTCACCCTCTGTTCAAACCCTGAGATTTCCCCACCCCTCAGAGAAGCCAAAGTCTGGCCCAGAGAGAGGCCCTTGCTGCCCCACTCCACCTGTCCCTCTAGCTCGTCCCCTCCCTGACCCTACCTCTAAGCTCTACCTCCTTGGGTCTGAGTCAAGGGACCCCTCAGGAAGGCCTGCCCTTGCCACCTTGTCTGAAATTGACACCCACCCCTCCCTTCCCTTAAAAATAAGTTGCTCTTAGCACTTACTATGGTCTCACTGTGAAATGTACCCATTCTTCGTAGTTATTGCCTGTCTTCCTCATTAGGAAGGGCCCCACAGGGAGGGGCCGTTCTCTCATTTTGTTCACTGCTGTACCCAGTGCCCAGCACATGGCAGCCCTCACGCAGCAAGTATTTATTAGGTGGGTTATTCCAAAGCCTCCTGGTCTCCCTGCCAGCCCCTCTGTCCCCGACCGATGCATGCCTCACCCAGTAGTGCATTCCATGTGGGCAGCTGCCTTGCTCACCTCTGAATCCCTGCACAGAGCCAGAGGGGTGGTAGGCGCTCGGCAAACACTGGCTCCTAAGAGGAGGCCTGTGCCTGCACCTGATTCACTTCTGGGTCCCTAGCACCGGGCAGAGCGCTGACATCTAGGTTCACTCAGGCATGCAGAAATAGTGATTTAGTGCCTACTTCCCTTAAAATTTTTTTGTTTTTCTTTTAATGTTATTTTAATAGAAAAGCCAACTCAAGGGAAGGAGCATATGTTGCTCCAGATTATCCTGTGTGCCCGTGTGCCCTCTCATGGGCACCTGGCACCCAGACCTCAGGCCTGGGGTTGCAGCTCCTCCCTGTCGTTGGGAGAAGGCTGAGGTCTTCCACGGGGCTGCGCTCCAGCCCAGAGGGGTGCAGAGGGCACGCCCATGCACAGAGGAGGCAGACGAGTCCCACTCTGGCAGAAAGATAAACAGGGAATGTTCTGACGCAAGAATTTATTCCAAGTGGACGTGGGTGTGGATAGTGACCTCAGCAGAGACACGTATTTCAAAGCAGGTCACAAGCTTCTCACAAACAGTCGCCCAGCCTAGCCCAGCCCTCCCCTTGCTACCTCTTTGACCTGAGCCGAGGTAGGTAGAAGGGCTTCCTAGTTCCCAAAAGAAAACACAGGTACCTAAGGGCTAAGAGAACTACACAGCCTTATTTTTATTAGTATCTAGCAAGAAAAAAACAAACTCAAGATTCCCTCCCTTTACTACCCCCACCTCCACTACGTGGGCCCTCAGGGAGCAGCTTCTGCCTGGGGAGTGCCTGCTGCCAGAGCTGTTCTTGGAGCCTGGGCACCCATGCACAGCCACTCCTTGTGCCTGTGAGCTAACGACAGGCCCCTGGACACCGTGGGGAGGAAAGGGTGGCTGGCATTTCTCTAGCCCTCAACCGTCAGCCTTGGAAACTTGGAAGAGGTCAGCGATGTCCAGCAGAGCTTGGCGGATGTGGTTCCCAAAGCGCTGGGCATTCTGCGGGAGCCGAGAGCTCAGGCAGACCCCCAGGTGAGCCCCTGCCCCTCTGTTCCACAAGCTGGGACTCTTCCCCAGCCAGACAGGGCCCCAAGGTGACACCTCCTCCTCAGTCCCGAGCAACAGCGGGAGACTTACCGTCTCTGAGCTTGAGAACTTGCTGGAGACGTGGAAGAAGATGGTGTTCTCACCTGCGATCATGTAGGAAACCCCGTAGCCATCATCAGCTACCTGGGGGCAGCACCAGGGGTGAAGAAGTAGTAAACCAAACCTTGAAGGTCTGAAAGCCAAGCTGACGGTATCTCTGTTTTCCCAGATTCGCTGGAAGGTCCTGCCTCCAGCTGCTGCATTTTTCTTGAGGCAAGAACCACCCCCAGGAAACAAAACCAAAGAGCTGCGCCCTGCAGCTCTTGGCCCCAGCCGGAGGTCCAAGACCTCTTATTTCCCCCTGGAGGCCCCAGGTCACTGCCTCTCTAGCTCCTTGACAAACTAGACCACATGAAGGGTCTATGGGAGAGCTGGACTCTCTCCTGTAATCACACTTCAGATGGAACCTGCCCTGGGCACAGCCACTCTGCAGCAGGGCTGCTGGCATGGTGGTGCCCCAGGCATCTGTCTTCTGGGGTCAGTAGTGCCCATCCTGTTTCCATGCAGGGTAGGGCCCAGGCTATACTCCCCTTCTGGTCTGACCTCGAGGCCCTGCACTCAACGTCCTTCCCTCCACCCCCCCTTCAAGGGCACTTACGGGGCCAAAGCCACCACCGGCACCCAGGTGTTTTGGGTACTGGTCTGGGTCAAACATGCGTATCTGGAATTGAGCGATCTGGCTGGTGGAGAGACGCCAGGGTTCTGAGAGCACCTGCAAAAAGGAGGCCAAGCTCAGACACCTGCCGTCAGGTGGTGCCCGAGCACCAGTGTAGGCGGGCACCATACTGGCCAAGGATGCACAAATGAACAGAGCAGGACCTTCCTGACTATTGTCCCTGCCTCCTCCCACTATGGTAGCAGCTGTACACAAGGCTATGCTGCCCAAGGCCCATGTGACCAGCTCTGTCCCCTCCCCTCCTGCTGTGCCTCACATCCCCCAGCCTCTGTCTCTGTGTCTGGGCCTTGAAGGCTCCCTGGACCTGGACGCTCTGCCTGGGCCTGATTCTGTAGCCTCTTCAATTTTCTCATGAGTGCTGATGCCGCCTGAGTTCACACTCAGGAGGACCCCAGCTCCATGGTGGGAGGCTCTTGCTCAGTACCAGCACCACATGCCTGAGTGGGGTGTGGGCACGAAAGCGGGCCCCAGCCCTCCGGAGCAGCTTCAGGGCATGGCCAGACGGAAAACAGGCTGAGGCCCATCAGGAAGGATGGGGACAGAGGAAAAGCCCATCTACAACACTCACCTCAGCCAGGAAAGGGGAGCTGACCCCCAGGTACTTGGAGACCACGTAAAGGCAGAAGAGGTGCCTGTCAATCCCAGCCCCCGTCATGGCCAGGCGGTACATATTCTGGTGCTTCTTAGAAGCTTTCCGGAAGAGATCTTGTAGGTCTTCCTTCTGGGGGTAGAAGTAGGGCAGTGAAGAGTTGCTGTGACCCTCAGAACGGGCAGGAGGCAGAGGGGCTACCTCACAGTGTGACGCTGGGGGCCTCACCATGTGGGACCTCTCCACCATGGCCTGAACAAAGGCTGTGGACTCGCTGGTACAGGAACGTACAGTCTCTGTCCGTCCCTCCCGGAACATTCTAGTCATTGAGGCTTCATAGGTCAGGCAGAACTTGCCCCGGTCCTGAAGAACACAGAGGGGTCAGTTTGGCAGGTGGACTCTGGGGCCACCTGTCTGCGCAGCAGCCTGGAGGGGCCCCTACCCGGAAGTGAGCCAGCTGCAGGGCAATCTGCACGAAGGCATCGGGGCTGGTCCGACATTTCTTGATCAGGCCTTTGCCAAAGGGCAAGAACTGGAAGCAGTACAACTCCACATCGTCTGCCAGCGCCTTGGCCACCTGGTAGGAACTCTCGATGACGGCCTGGCACTGCCGAGACATGGGAAGGGTCAGCTGGGGACCCAGCACCACAAGCAGGACTCCAAGCAGGACTCCAGGGTCACGTCGAGGAGGCTGAGGTTTAGGTAACAGAAGGCAGGACTGGTTGGGTCTCAGCCCACACTTGTCTTTAGGCAACAAGGACAACCTGAGGGGCACCAGCCGCCAGAGGCCAGGTTAGGCTTTGTGGGAGAAGCTCCATGTGACTGGTGCTCCATGCACAAGTCTTGGAGCTCACATGTTTCTCTAACTGCCAGATGGCCCAGGGTCTCTGTTCTCCCTGGGCCTGTCTGGACACTGGGAAGCTCCTGACCCTCCCTCTGAGAGCAGCGCTGGGCCAGAGGGGAGGAGATGGCGCAGTTTCTGAGGTCCTCGTTATTCTTCCATGCCTGTCCCTGCCTCTTGGCTTGCATACCGGCTCAGGAATGTCCCACTGCAGCCGCTGGGGAGGTGCCAGCTCAGGCCTTGGTCTGCCTAGGCAATGCCCTGTCTCCGTGTAGCCCAGGTGGAAGGTTTCAGTGCCAAGGACAAACTGTAGGGAGAAGGTCAGGCTGAGAGGCTATCCTGGTCCCCACGGCAGCCTGCCCCGCAGGACCTGCATCTGGGCCTGTTACCTCCCAGAGGTGCCCTATGATAGGGGCGTCTGCCCACGCGTGCTCTGTGTTGAGGCCCAGCTGGCCATTCTTGAAAGCGATGAGGGTGAAAGACTTGTCAAACCACCTGCAGGGCAGGAGACAGGAGACGTAGGGGCAGGCGCAGGGCCCGCAGAGGCCACGCAGGAGGCCAGGCTGTACCTGTTGTAGCAGTTGCCATGCAGCAGGGCCTTGCCATACAGGCTGAGGCTGGCCTCATCGTCGGGGTCATAGTGGTGAGACTCCTCGTCCAGGGCCACAAAGAAAGCAGCACGCTCAATGGCATCCAGGGCAGCCTTATTCTTGCCAGAGCTAAAGAAGGCCTGGCGAGCCTTTGCCCACTCCACTCTGGGGGCACAAGGGCAGGGTGAGCGGCAGGGCCACTGGCTGCAGATGAGGGCACCTGGCAGGGCCTGGAGCCCGGGTGAAATGGGTGTGCCAGGCTGTCCTGGGAGGTGTCCCTGCACTCCCATTTAGCCACCACCCAGTTAGAAGTGGGCAGCTACCCCCACCACGAGTTCCCCTTCCTACCAAGGGTCCTGGCTTGGACAGGAGATGCTGAGCCTGGCTCACCCCCAAGTCATGCCTTGGACCCTGAGTTTCAGGGTGGCTCCAGACCCAGCTCCTCTCATGGGGCCCTGAGCCTTAGCCAGGACAGCCCCTGCCACGGGCCCATACCTTCCGCCCGCAGTGAGGGCTGCCAGCCTCTCCTCCCCAGGCTGAGGTGGGGAGGGGTCATCCAAGACCCTCTGGAACTGCATCTCCAGGTCCCGTGGCTTGAGCAGGCGGGAGCCCTCATAGAGCCACACCTTGAAATAGCGGCCCTTGTGGTAGACGGCCACGTGTCTGCTGTCCGTGAGGTGCTGCAGTATGTCTGTGACAGGCCAGCAGGTGGGTGAGGCTGGGTAGCAGGACACACCGCCCAGCTTGCCTGGCTTCACACACTAGATGCGCACTTGGGGGCCACAGGCCATGTGCTGATACTCCAGCACCTTGTTTAATGCCAACAGCAGTGCTGAAGAATTTCATAGAAGAGGAGAGTGGAACTAGGAAATGACCCCAACTGTCCCAGGGTCAGAAGCAAGGCCTCTGTGAGCCCGCCCCCACTCTGGGCTCAAGGAAGGGCATCAGGTGAGCCTCAGTAGGGCTGCGCTGTTCTCCTACTGCCTTTTACTCAGTGGCCTACCTTTCCCTGCACTGTGAGCCCTGAAGGGGGGAGGGACTCTGGGCCCCTCGGGGTCCCAGCACTGGCATCATGCCTGTATATAGGTGTCTGGTACTGGTCACTGTTTTTCAGTTATGACTCTGACTCCGAAGATACCAAGTGACAGGCAGGTAGTGGGCACCTTGCCTGGGCAGGCCTATAGCTGGAAGGGAGGAGGCTCCGTCCCAGTGGTCCCAGCGTGGGCCTGGTACCTGTGTCCTTGCCCGGGATCCGCGTGGTGTTGAACATCCTCTCCATCTGGTAGGAGCACATGGGCACGATGCCCAGTGCCATCACCTGGCAGAAGGCCCAGCATGGATCAGACGTGGGCCTCCTCTCCCCATCATGCCCTCAACCCAGTGCAACTCACAGGCTTGATATCTTCCCGGTCCAGTTTACGGCGATACATGATCATGGCGTGGACAATGTTTCCCAGGCGGGCTGCCTGCACCTCTGTGTTCTTGGTGAGCACAAAGTCCTACCGAGAGAGCAGAGCCAATGGGGTGACTATGACAGGTGTGTGCAGTGGCTCTTCTCTGTCCAGTGTCACCTGGGTCTCCCTGCCCCAGGACCTGAGCTGTCTTGTCCCCGTTCCCCAGTCCATCCTGCACATGCTGTCAGGGGGAACTGCCAGAAATGAGATGCATAACCACATAGCCCTTCTACTTCAGCTTGAACTGAGCCGCTTTTCCATAGTCTGTTTTATTTGTTCATGATTTGTTTATTTTGCTTTGAGAAAGAGGTTCTTATTACTAAAAAACAGCTTACAGCCTCTGGAATGGACTAGTCACGTCTGAGTTTCTGAGATGGCAGCTCTGTGGAGGAGAATCCCAGCATGCTACTCAGTGCTTTGGCCAGCGTGGGGGGACAGGCATGCTGGAGCAGAAGGGCTGGTCACAAGGGGTAGGGCCCCAGTGACCTGAGCGCCAGGAGAGAGAGCTCTGGGTCTGCAGGGACACAGAGGAGGGCATGCTCCAGGAGGTCCCTGGTAGTGGTGTCAGGACAGCCAGGAACCTGGAGCTGGGAGGCCACCAAGGGAACCAAAGAAGTGTCAGGGCCTGGGCTGGGCAGGGCATGAGCCTGAGGGGCCCTGCAGTGCCAGGCTGCGGGCCTCCTGGATTCTTCAGACCCTCAGCATCCCTTGCCACCTCGAGGCTGCTTCCTGAATATTCTAGAATCTACCCTATCCTTCCTTTCCCTGAGGCCTCACTTTGGAACCCCTACTCGCCCATGGAAAATGCTGCCAGGGCTCTGGGCTGACCCCCAGGCCTGGAGCCCTGAGGCCTGGAGCCCTTTGTGGCCCCAGCTCTCACCATGACATAATAGTTGCTGTTCACCATGAGGGGAGTCCTGCCTCGGAGGTAGATGTACTCTTCCCACCAGTCACTCACCTGTGGGTGGGTAGGAAGTAGAGCTGGGGCGGAGGCAGCCAGGACACCAGGTGGGTGAGGCTAAGCCCAAGAGGGGGAACTCACATAATTAGTCGCCCACCATGACTTGAGTACCAGGTACTTCTGCAGCCTGGGCGCAGTCTTGTGCTGGAATTCCTTGGCCAGCATCTCCATTCGGTAATATTCCTTGTCATCCAACAAGGGCCGCACAGATTCCAGGTACTGTCCAGCCAAGTTATCATCAGTGTGGGGACTGCCTCTGCCTGACCCTCTTCCAACCCCATCCCCGTTGCCCTCAAGCCCACTCTTTGCAGGGGACAGTCCCTTATGTTTGGACAAGTCCTCTGAATCCAGCCTACCCTGCCCACTGGGATGCCTGGCCAGGCCCTCACCCGCTGAACTGTGGCTGGCACGCTGGGCACAGGAAGCTTGGGCAGAGATGTCTGGAAGCTGTAGAGCATGGGCCGCCGACTGGACAGAAGGCGGACACAGATCTGGGGATAGGCAGCAGAGAATGTTTTTTTGGGACCCAGGAGAAAGAAGGGAAATAGCAAATCCTTGAGCTGAGCCCCACACTCAGACCCAGGACAAACCCACCATGTGCCAGGCACCAGTGCCCTGCCTGCCTCTTGTCTCTAGTTCAGAACCCCAAATGAGGTCCCCAGGGTCTCAAATCAGTCTGAACCCCACCACTGGCTTCTGCTCACAGCCCAGATTTTGGTGAAGTGGCTGGTCTGGCCGTGCATTTCAAACATCCAACCGTGGTAGGAAAGAAGGAATTTCAGGGTTTGACGGAAGAGGAAGATGCCCATCATCCAGACCCCAGTGGAGAAGATGGCTGTGCTGAGAAGTGCCCGGGTCTGTGGGGTCCAGTAGGGGCCACATCTGTCAGAGAAGAAGAGAGGGCTGCAGGGGTCCACTTGAGGGAAATTCTGACTGGAGTCTTGATGGCACCAAAGGAACAGGACCTCCCCAGTCACACATTCACCTGAGAGCATCACACGTGAAAATTTAGACGTGGGACTGAGATGATGGTGGCTCCCCATTCCCCTCCCGTGGGGAGGGAGCTGCTCAGGGGAGCCATGTGACCTCCAATGGCTGCTGTCCAGTATCTGCCTAGCTCAGGAACCTTGGTCTTGGATCCCCAGCCNACAGAGGAGGCAGACGAGTCCCACTCTGGCAGAAAGATAAACAGGGAATGTTCTGACGCAAGAATTTATTCCAAGTGGACGTGGGTGTGGATAGTGACCTCAGCAGAGACACGTATTTCAAAGCAGGTCACAAGCTTCTCACAAACAGTCGCCCAGCCTAGCCCAGCCCTCCCCTTGCTACCTCTTTGACCTGAGCCGAGGTAGGTAGAAGGGCTTCCTAGTTCCCAAAAGAAAACACAGGTACCTAAGGGCTAAGAGAACTACACAGCCTTATTTTTATTAGTATCTAGCAAGAAAAAAACAAACTCAAGATTCCCTCCCTTTACTACCCCCACCTCCACTACGTGGGCCCTCAGGGAGCAGCTTCTGCCTGGGGAGTGCCTGCTGCCAGAGCTGTTCTTGGAGCCTGGGCACCCATGCACAGCCACTCCTTGTGCCTGTGAGCTAACGACAGGCCCCTGGACACCGTGGGGAGGAAAGGGTGGCTGGCATTTCTCTAGCCCTCAACCGTCAGCCTTGGAAACTTGGAAGAGGTCAGCGATGTCCAGCAGAGCTTGGCGGATGTGGTTCCCAAAGCGCTGGGCATTCTGCGGGAGCCGAGAGCTCAGGCAGACCCCCAGGTGAGCCCCTGCCCCTCTGTTCCACAAGCTGGGACTCTTCCCCAGCCAGACAGGGCCCCAAGGTGACACCTCCTCCTCAGTCCCGAGCAACAGCGGGAGACTTACCGTCTCTGAGCTTGAGAACTTGCTGGAGACGTGGAAGAAGATGGTGTTCTCACCTGCGATCATGTAGGAAACCCCGTAGCCATCATCAGCTACCTGGGGGCAGCACCAGGGGTGAAGAAGTAGTAAACCAAACCTTGAAGGTCTGAAAGCCAAGCTGACGGTATCTCTGTTTTCCCAGATTCGCTGGAAGGTCCTGCCTCCAGCTGCTGCATTTTTCTTGAGGCAAGAACCACCCCCAGGAAACAAAACCAAAGAGCTGCGCCCTGCAGCTCTTGGCCCCAGCCGGAGGTCCAAGACCTCTTATTTCCCCCTGGAGGCCCCAGGTCACTGCCTCTCTAGCTCCTTGACAAACTAGACCACATGAAGGGTCTATGGGAGAGCTGGACTCTCTCCTGTAATCACACTTCAGATGGAACCTGCCCTGGGCACAGCCACTCTGCAGCAGGGCTGCTGGCATGGTGGTGCCCCAGGCATCTGTCTTCTGGGGTCAGTAGTGCCCATCCTGTTTCCATGCAGGGTAGGGCCCAGGCTATACTCCCCTTCTGGTCTGACCTCGAGGCCCTGCACTCAACGTCCTTCCCTCCACCCCCCCTTCAAGGGCACTTACGGGGCCAAAGCCACCACCGGCACCCAGGTGTTTTGGGTACTGGTCTGGGTCAAACATGCGTATCTGGAATTGAGCGATCTGGCTGGTGGAGAGACGCCAGGGTTCTGAGAGCACCTGCAAAAAGGAGGCCAAGCTCAGACACCTGCCGTCAGGTGGTGCCCGAGCACCAGTGTAGGCGGGCACCATACTGGCCAAGGATGCACAAATGAACAGAGCAGGACCTTCCTGACTATTGTCCCTGCCTCCTCCCACTATGGTAGCAGCTGTACACAAGGCTATGCTGCCCAAGGCCCATGTGACCAGCTCTGTCCCCTCCCCTCCTGCTGTGCCTCACATCCCCCAGCCTCTGTCTCTGTGTCTGGGCCTTGAAGGCTCCCTGGACCTGGACGCTCTGCCTGGGCCTGATTCTGTAGCCTCTTCAATTTTCTCATGAGTGCTGATGCCGCCTGAGTTCACACTCAGGAGGACCCCAGCTCCATGGTGGGAGGCTCTTGCTCAGTACCAGCACCACATGCCTGAGTGGGGTGTGGGCACGAAAGCGGGCCCCAGCCCTCCGGAGCAGCTTCAGGGCATGGCCAGACGGAAAACAGGCTGAGGCCCATCAGGAAGGATGGGGACAGAGGAAAAGCCCATCTACAACACTCACCTCAGCCAGGAAAGGGGAGCTGACCCCCAGGTACTTGGAGACCACGTAAAGGCAGAAGAGGTGCCTGTCAATCCCAGCCCCCGTCATGGCCAGGCGGTACATATTCTGGTGCTTCTTAGAAGCTTTCCGGAAGAGATCTTGTAGGTCTTCCTTCTGGGGGTAGAAGTAGGGCAGTGAAGAGTTGCTGTGACCCTCAGAACGGGCAGGAGGCAGAGGGGCTACCTCACAGTGTGACGCTGGGGGCCTCACCATGTGGGACCTCTCCACCATGGCCTGAACAAAGGCTGTGGACTCGCTGGTACAGGAACGTACAGTCTCTGTCCGTCCCTCCCGGAACATTCTAGTCATTGAGGCTTCATAGGTCAGGCAGAACTTGCCCCGGTCCTGAAGAACACAGAGGGGTCAGTTTGGCAGGTGGACTCTGGGGCCACCTGTCTGCGCAGCAGCCTGGAGGGGCCCCTACCCGGAAGTGAGCCAGCTGCAGGGCAATCTGCACGAAGGCATCGGGGCTGGTCCGACATTTCTTGATCAGGCCTTTGCCAAAGGGCAAGAACTGGAAGCAGTACAACTCCACATCGTCTGCCAGCGCCTTGGCCACCTGGTAGGAACTCTCGATGACGGCCTGGCACTGCCGAGACATGGGAAGGGTCAGCTGGGGACCCAGCACCACAAGCAGGACTCCAAGCAGGACTCCAGGGTCACGTCGAGGAGGCTGAGGTTTAGGTAACAGAAGGCAGGACTGGTTGGGTCTCAGCCCACACTTGTCTTTAGGCAACAAGGACAACCTGAGGGGCACCAGCCGCCAGAGGCCAGGTTAGGCTTTGTGGGAGAAGCTCCATGTGACTGGTGCTCCATGCACAAGTCTTGGAGCTCACATGTTTCTCTAACTGCCAGATGGCCCAGGGTCTCTGTTCTCCCTGGGCCTGTCTGGACACTGGGAAGCTCCTGACCCTCCCTCTGAGAGCAGCGCTGGGCCAGAGGGGAGGAGATGGCGCAGTTTCTGAGGTCCTCGTTATTCTTCCATGCCTGTCCCTGCCTCTTGGCTTGCATACCGGCTCAGGAATGTCCCACTGCAGCCGCTGGGGAGGTGCCAGCTCAGGCCTTGGTCTGCCTAGGCAATGCCCTGTCTCCGTGTAGCCCAGGTGGAAGGTTTCAGTGCCAAGGACAAACTGTAGGGAGAAGGTCAGGCTGAGAGGCTATCCTGGTCCCCACGGCAGCCTGCCCCGCAGGACCTGCATCTGGGCCTGTTACCTCCCAGAGGTGCCCTATGATAGGGGCGTCTGCCCACGCGTGCTCTGTGTTGAGGCCCAGCTGGCCATTCTTGAAAGCGATGAGGGTGAAAGACTTGTCAAACCACCTGCAGGGCAGGAGACAGGAGACGTAGGGGCAGGCGCAGGGCCCGCAGAGGCCACGCAGGAGGCCAGGCTGTACCTGTTGTAGCAGTTGCCATGCAGCAGGGCCTTGCCATACAGGCTGAGGCTGGCCTCATCGTCGGGGTCATAGTGGTGAGACTCCTCGTCCAGGGCCACAAAGAAAGCAGCACGCTCAATGGCATCCAGGGCAGCCTTATTCTTGCCAGAGCTAAAGAAGGCCTGGCGAGCCTTTGCCCACTCCACTCTGGGGGCACAAGGGCAGGGTGAGCGGCAGGGCCACTGGCTGCAGATGAGGGCACCTGGCAGGGCCTGGAGCCCGGGTGAAATGGGTGTGCCAGGCTGTCCTGGGAGGTGTCCCTGCACTCCCATTTAGCCACCACCCAGTTAGAAGTGGGCAGCTACCCCCACCACGAGTTCCCCTTCCTACCAAGGGTCCTGGCTTGGACAGGAGATGCTGAGCCTGGCTCACCCCCAAGTCATGCCTTGGACCCTGAGTTTCAGGGTGGCTCCAGACCCAGCTCCTCTCATGGGGCCCTGAGCCTTAGCCAGGACAGCCCCTGCCACGGGCCCATACCTTCCGCCCGCAGTGAGGGCTGCCAGCCTCTCCTCCCCAGGCTGAGGTGGGGAGGGGTCATCCAAGACCCTCTGGAACTGCATCTCCAGGTCCCGTGGCTTGAGCAGGCGGGAGCCCTCATAGAGCCACACCTTGAAATAGCGGCCCTTGTGGTAGACGGCCACGTGTCTGCTGTCCGTGAGGTGCTGCAGTATGTCTGTGACAGGCCAGCAGGTGGGTGAGGCTGGGTAGCAGGACACACCGCCCAGCTTGCCTGGCTTCACACACTAGATGCGCACTTGGGGGCCACAGGCCATGTGCTGATACTCCAGCACCTTGTTTAATGCCAACAGCAGTGCTGAAGAATTTCATAGAAGAGGAGAGTGGAACTAGGAAATGACCCCAACTGTCCCAGGGTCAGAAGCAAGGCCTCTGTGAGCCCGCCCCCACTCTGGGCTCAAGGAAGGGCATCAGGTGAGCCTCAGTAGGGCTGCGCTGTTCTCCTACTGCCTTTTACTCAGTGGCCTACCTTTCCCTGCACTGTGAGCCCTGAAGGGGGGAGGGACTCTGGGCCCCTCGGGGTCCCAGCACTGGCATCATGCCTGTATATAGGTGTCTGGTACTGGTCACTGTTTTTCAGTTATGACTCTGACTCCGAAGATACCAAGTGACAGGCAGGTAGTGGGCACCTTGCCTGGGCAGGCCTATAGCTGGAAGGGAGGAGGCTCCGTCCCAGTGGTCCCAGCGTGGGCCTGGTACCTGTGTCCTTGCCCGGGATCCGCGTGGTGTTGAACATCCTCTCCATCTGGTAGGAGCACATGGGCACGATGCCCAGTGCCATCACCTGGCAGAAGGCCCAGCATGGATCAGACGTGGGCCTCCTCTCCCCATCATGCCCTCAACCCAGTGCAACTCACAGGCTTGATATCTTCCCGGTCCAGTTTACGGCGATACATGATCATGGCGTGGACAATGTTTCCCAGGCGGGCTGCCTGCACCTCTGTGTTCTTGGTGAGCACAAAGTCCTACCGAGAGAGCAGAGCCAATGGGGTGACTATGACAGGTGTGTGCAGTGGCTCTTCTCTGTCCAGTGTCACCTGGGTCTCCCTGCCCCAGGACCTGAGCTGTCTTGTCCCCGTTCCCCAGTCCATCCTGCACATGCTGTCAGGGGGAACTGCCAGAAATGAGATGCATAACCACATAGCCCTTCTACTTCAGCTTGAACTGAGCCGCTTTTCCATAGTCTGTTTTATTTGTTCATGATTTGTTTATTTTGCTTTGAGAAAGAGGTTCTTATTACTAAAAAACAGCTTACAGCCTCTGGAATGGACTAGTCACGTCTGAGTTTCTGAGATGGCAGCTCTGTGGAGGAGAATCCCAGCATGCTACTCAGTGCTTTGGCCAGCGTGGGGGGACAGGCATGCTGGAGCAGAAGGGCTGGTCACAAGGGGTAGGGCCCCAGTGACCTGAGCGCCAGGAGAGAGAGCTCTGGGTCTGCAGGGACACAGAGGAGGGCATGCTCCAGGAGGTCCCTGGTAGTGGTGTCAGGACAGCCAGGAACCTGGAGCTGGGAGGCCACCAAGGGAACCAAAGAAGTGTCAGGGCCTGGGCTGGGCAGGGCATGAGCCTGAGGGGCCCTGCAGTGCCAGGCTGCGGGCCTCCTGGATTCTTCAGACCCTCAGCATCCCTTGCCACCTCGAGGCTGCTTCCTGAATATTCTAGAATCTACCCTATCCTTCCTTTCCCTGAGGCCTCACTTTGGAACCCCTACTCGCCCATGGAAAATGCTGCCAGGGCTCTGGGCTGACCCCCAGGCCTGGAGCCCTGAGGCCTGGAGCCCTTTGTGGCCCCAGCTCTCACCATGACATAATAGTTGCTGTTCACCATGAGGGGAGTCCTGCCTCGGAGGTAGATGTACTCTTCCCACCAGTCACTCACCTGTGGGTGGGTAGGAAGTAGAGCTGGGGCGGAGGCAGCCAGGACACCAGGTGGGTGAGGCTAAGCCCAAGAGGGGGAACTCACATAATTAGTCGCCCACCATGACTTGAGTACCAGGTACTTCTGCAGCCTGGGCGCAGTCTTGTGCTGGAATTCCTTGGCCAGCATCTCCATTCGGTAATATTCCTTGTCATCCAACAAGGGCCGCACAGATTCCAGGTACTGTCCAGCCAAGTTATCATCAGTGTGGGGACTGCCTCTGCCTGACCCTCTTCCAACCCCATCCCCGTTGCCCTCAAGCCCACTCTTTGCAGGGGACAGTCCCTTATGTTTGGACAAGTCCTCTGAATCCAGCCTACCCTGCCCACTGGGATGCCTGGCCAGGCCCTCACCCGCTGAACTGTGGCTGGCACGCTGGGCACAGGAAGCTTGGGCAGAGATGTCTGGAAGCTGTAGAGCATGGGCCGCCGACTGGACAGAAGGCGGACACAGATCTGGGGATAGGCAGCAGAGAATGTTTTTTTGGGACCCAGGAGAAAGAAGGGAAATAGCAAATCCTTGAGCTGAGCCCCACACTCAGACCCAGGACAAACCCACCATGTGCCAGGCACCAGTGCCCTGCCTGCCTCTTGTCTCTAGTTCAGAACCCCAAATGAGGTCCCCAGGGTCTCAAATCAGTCTGAACCCCACCACTGGCTTCTGCTCACAGCCCAGATTTTGGTGAAGTGGCTGGTCTGGCCGTGCATTTCAAACATCCAACCGTGGTAGGAAAGAAGGAATTTCAGGGTTTGACGGAAGAGGAAGATGCCCATCATCCAGACCCCAGTGGAGAAGATGGCTGTGCTGAGAAGTGCCCGGGTCTGTGGGGTCCAGTAGGGGCCACATCTGTCAGAGAAGAAGAGAGGGCTGCAGGGGTCCACTTGAGGGAAATTCTGACTGGAGTCTTGATGGCACCAAAGGAACAGGACCTCCCCAGTCACACATTCACCTGAGAGCATCACACGTGAAAATTTAGACGTGGGACTGAGATGATGGTGGCTCCCCATTCCCCTCCCGTGGGGAGGGAGCTGCTCAGGGGAGCCATGTGACCTCCAATGGCTGCTGTCCAGTATCTGCCTAGCTCAGGAACCTTGGTCTTGGATCCCCAGCCCCTCTCTCATGGCCCCACTTCTTACCCTGCAGGGAGGCATCTCTGGATATAAGTGACCAGCCCCATGGAGATGTCCGTATTGCAGTAGGAGGAACCCACTGTTGCCATGACGACAACCAACCAGCTGGTGGGGCTGCCAGGATACACACCCCTAAGGATGCCATTCTGGGAAGGCAGAAACAGGCATGCTTAGCAGGAAGGCAGCTGTGAGGTCCCGGTCTTTGGCTGGGAGGCTTTCTCCCTTCCTCACCTGCTGTGTTAGTCTTCCTCCACGTCTGGCCTTCCCTTCCACATTCCCACACCTACAGCCCCGGTTCCTCACTGTGCCCCACCGCCACCTCTTGCACCCCCTCCACCTCCAGTAACCCTCCGGTTTCTGCACTGTTACAGCCTGTCACCCAGAGGCACTGCCAGCCAAGGCAGGATCCTGACAATGGGGCGGCAGCTTACATCTGGCCTCTACCTCCGCGAAGGCTGCACTGTGCACCTGCTGGGAGGAAGAAGCCAGAGCCACCTGCGCCCACCTTGATGCGGATCAGGCGTTTCTTCCACGAGTTGATCCCAGACAGGTAGATGTGTTTCAGGGCCTCCCGACTGAGCCGGAAATCGACCCCGTCTGGGGTTACTGTGAACTGGAAAGCCACGGCCTGGTGTGCTTCCGCCATCCTGGGGTCTGGCCGTCACCTGGGGGGCAGGAGCGTCGGGGCTCAGGCCGGCCTGACGGCGGGGCGCCCCACCTCCCGCCCTCTCACCGCTGCCTCCGCCCCCGCAGGCCAACGGCCGCAGAACCCTTGCGCTTGCGTTACGGGCGGGGTCGGGAGAGGGGTCGAGGCTTTAAAAGCCAGGAGGCCCGAGGACATTGAAGGGTTGCCTCGGGGTGGGGGAGAGAGGCGCCCGGAGAAGCGAAGTCGGTCTGGAGCCAAGCGGTGTCTGGGCGCCCCGAGGCCCGACCGCTTGGGGCCCCGGTGCAGTTATTGCCCAGGGCCCAGGCGCGTGGCCCTGCGCTGTCCCCTACTCCACTCACGGCTCGGGTTCACTCCTGTCCGCGTGCGGGGCCAGTCGCTCTGGCCCGTGTCCCTGTGTCCTTCAGGCCTGGCTACCCTCGCCCCGCCCACAAGAACCTGACACCCACTCCCAAATTTGGGTTGCAAAGACAGATGTGGGGCGGCAACCAGAGTCCCCTCCCTTCCGTGGCGGGAATGGGAGTGGGAATGGGTGGTGGTGTGCGGGTTTCTGCAAACCTTAGATTGCTCAAAGGTTTGGGAACCTGGGTGGGTGGCAGGGGGAGGGGTGGTAAAGGGTCTTACGTGAGGATGGTAGCATTAGAGCTAAAAATAGCCGAATGCAGGGAAAAGGTCATCAATGTGTCAGCTGTGCTGCCTGCCCATATCTCCAGCGCTCAGGGTTGGGCAGCCCCATCCCGGGGCCCTCTTTGTACCCCTTACTCCCCAGTTCCCGTAGTATTTGTCACTTCTAAGCTGGAGCCAGGGACGGGGCCCTCTAGCCCGCTGAGTGGATCCTTCACCACTTTCGAGCCCCAAGCACCACACAGCCACGCTTTTCAGGAGATCAGGCTCAACAGGGGCCACTTTTGTCAATGCATGCATGCACCCTTGGCTGTGCTGTGATGCAAGGACAGGACAGGGTGTAGAGGAAGAAACTTGTTTATTGTCTTAAGGTACACAGTCCAGAGGCTCCCGCAGCTCCGGGGTTCAGCCCAGGCCCCAGGGCCTCCTGCTCTTTGCCTCTCCCTCCAAGGTCCTGCCCTGGAGGCCGTGAAGAAATCCAAGGAGTTGTGGGGTGGTGCGTCAGAATGAGGGGTGGAAGCTGGTCAGCTGTCCCTTCTGCTGGAAGTAGAACTGGAACCGAGACTGGGCATACTCCTAGGGAACGACCACCCAACATGCTGGTGAGCAAACTTGGGACCAGCACCCCACAGCCCCTCACTATGCCCACAGCCACTCAGGCCTGCTCACAGGTGTCCTGGAGGACATGAGGCCCCTGCTGCTTGCCCTCCCTACTTGTACCCCTCGCCCACATGGGTGACTCACCAAATAACCAAATTCTATGGTGGACATGGATGCCTGGAGGATGGACCAGAGACCCCAAAAGAAATGGGATGCCAGAGCATACCTGGGAAGCGGGATAGGAAAAGCAGAGAGGTTCAGAGCACAGTCGATACTGTATAGATCCCCTCCCCAAGGCTGGTCGAGCCCCAAAGTTATAAGTTCTCCCCCAACACCCTAACCCTACCTGTCCTCACCTACCCTTCCCACTCGTTAACTCTTCCTGTCAGCCTCAGCCCTCTTCCCTAATCCATGCCCCCATCTGGCATTGGTGCCCTCCCGGCAGCCCTGGGAAGTCTGGCTGGCTAACTCTCCCTTAGCCCCGCCTTCCTCTGTGCTATGCCCCACCCACCCTTCCTCACCGATTGGCCTCTACCAGCAAATCTTCTTCCAGTTTCCTCTGATCCTCTTGGGAGATGGTTTCACCTTTCTTTACCTCTGCCAGGTAATGGCGAATAAAATGGAGCTGAGATCAACAGACAAGAGTCAGAAAACAGGGAGGCATTGGGGCATCTCAGTCAACACCCTCTCACCATTCCTTCCAGACTCACCCTCGTCCCCCACAGGCCAGGTCCTGCCCTGCCAGCCTCTGGCCCACATACCTGCTGTGCCCGGGTGGGGAAGTCCGCAGGCTGCGCTCTGTAGAAAGGCCAGTCCTCATGAGTATAATCATAAATCCACTCACAGAAATGGTTCCCAATGTCAAAGCCCCTGGGGGAATAAGATGGACACAGCTCCCAGATACCCTGGCGGCTGGAATACAGGGTCAAAGCTCTGGTCTCTCTCCAGGGCTCTGGGAACAGACCCACAGAGGTCACCTTCATCCTCACCTGTAGTTATAGCTGCTGTACTCGAAGTCGACCAACATAAGTCTATCAGCATTTTCTGGCTCTGAGAGCAACAAGATGTTCCCTGGGGTAATGGAGTGGGTTGTGGTCACCCAGGCCCTCAGATGCCCTCACTTTAGGTTGGGAGACTCCAATACCTTCCTTCCCCTTACCTTCCTGGATGTCATTGTGGCAGAAGACCACTGGTGACGGGGTAGAGTCCAGCAGCTTCCTGCAGGGTACCAGGGGGAGTAGTTCTGAGAGGGAGTGACTAGAGAGTCAGTCACCCTGACCCCAGCCTCCTGCAAATCTGGGGGAGGACCCATTAGGTGCCTGGCACCAACCCCTCCGCCCTTCTGCTTCCCCAGCCTTCCTGCCCTCACCTGAGGCTGTCCATCTCATCCTTCAAGCCATACATCTCCAGCAGGTTCATCTGGGAGAGGCCAGCAGGGGGTAGGTCCTGGATCTGCTTTAGGTACCTGTAGCCCAAATAACGGCACACTCACTCTGCGATCCCACCCCACCCTCTCTCCTACCCATTTTCCTGTCATTGTATCACTAGTCTGACTTGTTTGGAAGCCTGTGCTGTGAGACCAGGCTAGACGCCGGGACACCTGATCCACTCAACTGGAGGGAAGGACAAAGGCACGGGTGCACTCAGCCGCACCGCAGTGTAGTAAATGCCAGCATGAGGGTTTCGCCCAGGTGTGCAGGAGCCCTGAGGAAGCCCCTGACTCACCGCTCCATGGTCCCGAACAGCCAGTGGGGCTCCTTGGTGAAGGGCATCTCCATGCCGTGGAACTGGGCCATCTTGGTGGCAATGGCTGCTGACAACAGCGGCTCTCGAAGCTCATTCGTTTTCAGTGGTCGGCTCTGCACCCAGGAACCTATCAGGGTGGTGAGGGGGCTGGGGCAGGAGGGGGAAGGGATGGGCCAATGGGGGGAGGTCACGGTCTTGGGGAGAATGCCCTACCTGGGGTGAGGGATGTGAAGCACATATTGGGAAGGGGATACGGGGAAAAGAGGGCCGGGCTGGGCTCCTACTGGAATGTACTGTTCCAGCCGACCCTCAGGAAAGACTCCGTACAGCTGGGGCCCCAACGACCGCTCTGCAAGGATGGCGAACATCACACTTTCAAGGACCAAAGAATCCACGCCCTGAAGCAAGTTGGACAGAAGGGAGCTGGAGTCAGGATTCTCCAGAGGTGAAGTGGTGCTGGCACACACAAGCGGGTCCATTTTCTCCTTCCACCCAGCCCGGGCTTGTAGTTCTATCGACTGGAGGCTCCTGGGCTAGGCTTTGGTATGACCATGGACAAGTGACAGCCGGAGCCTGTGTCCTTATCTGCGCAGTTGGGACAGTACCGCCTGCCCGCTTACGGGAGCGGTCCTAACAATTGCCAGTGCGGCGCCTGCCCCTCACCTGCAGGATGGCCCCGTAGAGCCGCAGCAGCACCTCCCGGGGCTCCTTGCCCACGCTGGGCAGGCGGTCCGGCAGCGAGCAGCGAAACAGCAGGTTGCTGAGGCCTCCGCTGCAGACCCACACCAGGCACTCAGACCGCGGTCGGCCCCGCCCCGGTCCCGGTGCCCCGCGTCCGACCCGGCGTCGGTGCCCGCCCCCGGCCCGCACTCGGGGAGAGGCTGACCCCTGACCTCCCACCTCACGGGGTCAACCCTCAGCTCCTCGGGCCGCACTCGGCGCCAGGCCCCGCCCAAGTACTCCCGGCAGCACTGGTAGGCTCGGCGCTCGGCGTCACACGACAGCGCCGAGCCGCGCCGCCGGATGGGAGCCGCGTCCGCGCACTTAGACAGCGGGAGGCTGTCCTGGGCCAGCCGGCCGCCGACAGCCCCGCCTCCGGCCACAGCTGCGCCCTCGGCCGCCATGGCACCGGTTCACCAGGCCGGATGCCCGACCGCGCTCAGCCCCCTTCGGGCTGGCTCGGCTCTGCTTCCGGCTCGCCGGAGCGCCTCCGGTCACACTCGGGTCTCCCCGGCTCCGCTCGGCTCTCTCCGTGACCCCGGTCGGAGTCGCCTTTCCTAAGGCCAGATTCAGCGCGTCTCCGCCGCGCCCAGCCCATATCAGGGCGAAGACCAATGGCCTCGGTCTATGGGCGGGGCCTCTAAACACAGGCCACTGTTTGGACCGCGAACCGGAACCGAGGCATTGCGTGGGCCAGTCAGAAGCTTCGCTAATGGTGGGGCACACGCACAGCGGCGTGTCACGTGGCAGGCCGGGACTGAGGGCGCGCAGTGGGCGGTGGACTCTAGGGCCGGGGGCCGGGGGCGGTGCGGGCAGCTGGACCTGCCTCCTGCAGGCGCCTCCCTGGACTGGGAGAGGACCGCTGAGTGCGTGTAGCCAGTCCTGCGTGTGGTCCCCTCGGGGGAGCGGGGATCGTGTGAGACGCACGTCCGACGGGTAGAGGGTGTGGGGCACAAGGTAGGAGCCCAATAAACACCTGCGCCGAGCGCGTGAGAGAAAGGCACCCTTCTCACCCTTAAGTGGGACAATTCCCATGACGCCAAGTACCTTAAATAAAAATCGCCGCCGAGACTCCCTTGTCCGTTGAAGTGCACCTCTGAGAGGACGCTTGGGTTGCCCTGCTTGAAACTGATGCCTTCAAGCCCCACTTAACTTCCCCTCTTACTTCCAGACCTAGAACCAGTTATAAAATAAAACCAGGAGAAGTCTCCCCTTGGAGCCAGCAGCGCGTCTGCCAGGTCCCCCTGGGAAGTCGGACAGCGTTCGGACTTCCCCCAGCGGGAAGGTGTACAGTCTTCCTGCGTTTCTGCTGCTGCCCCAGGCGGCAGTGGCAGCCAGGATGACTAGACCCACAGGGGTCCGTCGCAGTGCCTGTTGGACCATGGTGGTGTTCTCTGGGGTAAAATAGATAGGCAGTTGACTAGAGTGTTGTTTGTTTGAATAACCAGAAAAAAAATTGGGAATTGGTGATCACAAGGCGAACATCAGTTCACAGTGGAAAATCATGCCTCACTCTGTATTTAAATCTGAGCCATGAGACCTGGAGCCACATTGAAAGGGAACTTGGTCCCTTCAGGGGAGGGCCCTGTAGTGCCGCCGCAAGTGTGTACAAAAAGTGCTCCTCTGATCCTTCCCCCAAAGGACCTAGAGCCACTTAAGAAAAGTAAATGATTTGCTCTGAAAAATGGTCTATCCAGACCTTTCATGGGCAGTTAGATACAGGATCTGAGCTGACCCTTATGGCAGCGACTGGTTAGAGGAGGAGTTATGGAAGCAAGATGATAAATGCAATCCTGACCCCAGTCCTGTGGCTACTTCTCTGGCCCCAGGGCATACTTGGGATGACTACACCTAGCGATGGGCAGAGCCTATACCTTGATCCCTGGCCTATGGAATTAGAATCATTACAGTAGGGAGAATAAAGTGAAACTCCGCTCTGCACTCCCACCCCTTCAGGAGAATAAATCAGTATTCCCAGTGGGACTGCAGAGATTGTGTCACTCGAAGACAAAAAGTGATGGTCCCCATTACATCCGCTTCACTTCACTAGAATGGCTGGTGAAAAATCCAGATGGATCCAAATAAATAATGGTGGGTGACCACAAACTCCACAAACTTAGCCAAGTAGTATCCTCACAGCAGCTGAGTTAGATGCTTTATCTTGACTGGAACTGAGTAATGCATCTCTAGCCCTTAGTAATGCAATTATTGATGTGGTGAACATTCTTTTCAATTTCCAGCAGTAAAGAGTAAATTTCCAAAAGCAGTTCACATTTATGTAGGAAGGACAGCCAAACATATTCATTGTCTTGCTTCAAAGTTGTTTTAACTCTCCTGCTCTCTGTTAACAATATAATCCATTGAGACCTTGATCACCTGGACGTTCCACATAACATTGATGGCATCACGCTAATTGGACACGGTAAAGAAGTGCTCTGTCCTTGGTAAGACAATGCATATCAGAGGATGAGAGAGAAACCCTCAAGACTTGTGGAGCCTGTCATTAGTGAAATTTTCTGAAATGCAGTGTTGTAGGGCAAACCAGGGCATCACTTCTAAGATAAGGACAAGTTATTGTATCTTGCATCCTTGTCACAAAGGAGGCATAGCACTTGATGCACCTCTGAATTTTGGAGTCAGCATGTGTCATGCTTGGGAGGACTGTTCTGACCCATTTATTGGGTGACCTGGAAGACTGCCAGTTAGAGGGACCCAGAGCAAAGGAGGGGTCTGTTATGATCCATAATGGAGGATGGGATCCCCTGCCACTCAGCAGAACCAGTGGGTTATGATTGGGCTTATTTGTGAACTCAGGTGTTAGGTCCAGGGGACATAGCTTTATAGAAACAGTTTTTGTTAACCAAATTAGGTAATTATGCTGAATTCCAGGTTGACAAGTTTGTGGGCATAAGAGGCCTGGTAATCTCCACTCAGGGCCTCCTACAACCTATCAGAACCTCTCCCTGTTCAGGCAGACCACCATCACCACCAACTTCAGTGCATTTTTGGGAGGAACTAGTGAAACATGGGAAACCATTCTCACCAAATGCTCCCAAGCCTGGTATTTCCTGGAATGCTTTGCCAGGGGTGTCCCCTTCGCACTTACCACAATAAAAAGAACATTACCTGAGAGTCATGTGTCAGAGAGCTAATTTTTATCAAGGCTCCAATGCAGCCCTATTTGGGACTATGTCATTGGTCCAATGTGAAGACTTGTGTGAAAATATAAAATCTTGTTTTGTATTCGGTTATTATATAACTGTATTTTGGGTGTGTACTTGATATGAAAGAGTGTTTTAAGACATTTAGATTTCAGAGATTGTCGCTATTCTCTAATAGCACCAATCCCTTAAAAAACTCCAACTCTGACTTAGTGTCATAATAGTTCTCCTCATTCGTAGAAATCTATTTTCTGAAAGGTATAACTATTTGTGGATTCTCTTTCTTAAACCAGAAAAAGCATTTTTTATTTTACTGTCTTTTCCTTTAAGAATAACAGTATTGTAAACCCCATGACTTTTGGAGACGAGACTATACCATTTATTTTAGCACCAGGTTATGCTTGCTTTCTGATGGAAATGACCTAGAAGAGAAGGGGAAATTGGTGCTAGAGAGAGGGTTAATTTCAAGCAAAGGACTTGAAAAGGCAATGAGAAAAGTGGAAGGATCAAGAAACCAGAGGTCCGTGGTGGTGTTATAACAGCTCCCAGGTTCTTTGACACTCCTCCCATTGAGAGATGGGGTCTATGGCTTCTCTCTTGAGTCTGGCTGGACTTGTGATTGCTTTGACCAATAGCTATGGCAGAAGTGATTCTATATGACTTCCAAGGCTAGATCAGAAAAGGCCATGCAGGAATTGTCAAACTGGCCATCCTGCCTAAAGCAATCTACAGATTCAATGCAATCCCTATCAAAATACTAACAGCATTCTTAAATGAACTAGAACACATAGTTCTAAAATTCATATGGAAACACAAAAGACTCCAAATAGCCAAAGCAATCCTGAGAAGGAAGAATAAAGTTGGGGGGAGCATTACGCTCATCGACTTCAAGCTCTACTACAAAGCTACAGTCATCAACACAATTTGGTACTGGCACAAGAACAGACCCACAGACCAGTGGAACAGACTATAGAGAGCCCAGCTATATACCCAAGCATATATGGTCAATTAATATATGATAAAGGAGCCATGGGTATACAATGGGGAAATGACAGCTTCTTCAACAGCTGGTGTTGGCAAAACTGGACAGCTACATGTAAGAGAATGAAACTGGATCATTGTCTAACCAAATACACAAAAGTAAACTCAAAATGGATCAAAGACCTGAATGTAAGTCATGAAACCATAAAACTCTTATAAGAAAACATAGGCAGAAACCTCTTGAATATAAACATGAGCTGTACGTGGTGTCACCCATCATTGCTGGGACAATTTAGCATTGTCTGTAAAACTCTACTGGATGAGGACAGCTTGAAGCTTGCCCCTGGCCTCGCTTGGACTCTGCCCTGTGTGCCTTTCTCCTTTGCTGATTTGAATCTGTATCCTTTCACTGTAATAAACCTTACCTGTGAGGAAGGCAAAAAAAAAAAACAAAAAAAAAACATGAGCAACTTTTTCCTGAACGCATCTCCTTGGGCAAGAGAAACAAAATAAAAAATGAACAAATGGGACTACATCATGCTAAAAAGCTTCTGTACAGCAAAGGACATTATCAGCAGAACAAAAAGGCATCCTATAGTATGGGAGAATATATTTGTAAATGACATATCCGACAAGGGGTTAACATCCAAAATATATAAAGAACTCACATGCCTCAACACCCAAAAAGCAAATAACCCTATTAAAAAATGAGTGGAGGATATGAACAGACACTTCTCCAAAGAAGAAATTCAGATGGCCAACAGGCACATGAAAAGATGCTCCACATCACTAATTATCAGGGAAATACAAATTAAAACCACTATGAGATATCACCTCATGCCAGTTAGGATGGCCAACCTAGAAAAGACTAGGAACAACAAATGCTGGTGAGGACATGGAGAAAGGGGAACCCTCCTACACTGCTGGTGGGAATGTAAATTAGTTCAACCACTGTGGAAAGCAGTATGGAGGTTCCTCAAAAAACTAAAAATAAAACACCACTTGACCCAGGAATTCCACTCCCAGGAATTTACCCTAAGAATGCAGTTTCCCAGTTTCAAAAAGACATATACACCCCTATGTTTATCGCAGCACTATTTATAATNGATCTGCTTTAGGTACCTGTAGCCCAAATAACGGCACACTCACTCTGCGATCCCACCCCACCCTCTCTCCTACCCATTTTCCTGTCATTGTATCACTAGTCTGACTTGTTTGGAAGCCTGTGCTGTGAGACCAGGCTAGACGCCGGGACACCTGATCCACTCAACTGGAGGGAAGGACAAAGGCACGGGTGCACTCAGCCGCACCGCAGTGTAGTAAATGCCAGCATGAGGGTTTCGCCCAGGTGTGCAGGAGCCCTGAGGAAGCCCCTGACTCACCGCTCCATGGTCCCGAACAGCCAGTGGGGCTCCTTGGTGAAGGGCATCTCCATGCCGTGGAACTGGGCCATCTTGGTGGCAATGGCTGCTGACAACAGCGGCTCTCGAAGCTCATTCGTTTTCAGTGGTCGGCTCTGCACCCAGGAACCTATCAGGGTGGTGAGGGGGCTGGGGCAGGAGGGGGAAGGGATGGGCCAATGGGGGGAGGTCACGGTCTTGGGGAGAATGCCCTACCTGGGGTGAGGGATGTGAAGCACATATTGGGAAGGGGATACGGGGAAAAGAGGGCCGGGCTGGGCTCCTACTGGAATGTACTGTTCCAGCCGACCCTCAGGAAAGACTCCGTACAGCTGGGGCCCCAACGACCGCTCTGCAAGGATGGCGAACATCACACTTTCAAGGACCAAAGAATCCACGCCCTGAAGCAAGTTGGACAGAAGGGAGCTGGAGTCAGGATTCTCCAGAGGTGAAGTGGTGCTGGCACACACAAGCGGGTCCATTTTCTCCTTCCACCCAGCCCGGGCTTGTAGTTCTATCGACTGGAGGCTCCTGGGCTAGGCTTTGGTATGACCATGGACAAGTGACAGCCGGAGCCTGTGTCCTTATCTGCGCAGTTGGGACAGTACCGCCTGCCCGCTTACGGGAGCGGTCCTAACAATTGCCAGTGCGGCGCCTGCCCCTCACCTGCAGGATGGCCCCGTAGAGCCGCAGCAGCACCTCCCGGGGCTCCTTGCCCACGCTGGGCAGGCGGTCCGGCAGCGAGCAGCGAAACAGCAGGTTGCTGAGGCCTCCGCTGCAGACCCACACCAGGCACTCAGACCGCGGTCGGCCCCGCCCCGGTCCCGGTGCCCCGCGTCCGACCCGGCGTCGGTGCCCGCCCCCGGCCCGCACTCGGGGAGAGGCTGACCCCTGACCTCCCACCTCACGGGGTCAACCCTCAGCTCCTCGGGCCGCACTCGGCGCCAGGCCCCGCCCAAGTACTCCCGGCAGCACTGGTAGGCTCGGCGCTCGGCGTCACACGACAGCGCCGAGCCGCGCCGCCGGATGGGAGCCGCGTCCGCGCACTTAGACAGCGGGAGGCTGTCCTGGGCCAGCCGGCCGCCGACAGCCCCGCCTCCGGCCACAGCTGCGCCCTCGGCCGCCATGGCACCGGTTCACCAGGCCGGATGCCCGACCGCGCTCAGCCCCCTTCGGGCTGGCTCGGCTCTGCTTCCGGCTCGCCGGAGCGCCTCCGGTCACACTCGGGTCTCCCCGGCTCCGCTCGGCTCTCTCCGTGACCCCGGTCGGAGTCGCCTTTCCTAAGGCCAGATTCAGCGCGTCTCCGCCGCGCCCAGCCCATATCAGGGCGAAGACCAATGGCCTCGGTCTATGGGCGGGGCCTCTAAACACAGGCCACTGTTTGGACCGCGAACCGGAACCGAGGCATTGCGTGGGCCAGTCAGAAGCTTCGCTAATGGTGGGGCACACGCACAGCGGCGTGTCACGTGGCAGGCCGGGACTGAGGGCGCGCAGTGGGCGGTGGACTCTAGGGCCGGGGGCCGGGGGCGGTGCGGGCAGCTGGACCTGCCTCCTGCAGGCGCCTCCCTGGACTGGGAGAGGACCGCTGAGTGCGTGTAGCCAGTCCTGCGTGTGGTCCCCTCGGGGGAGCGGGGATCGTGTGAGACGCACGTCCGACGGGTAGAGGGTGTGGGGCACAAGGTAGGAGCCCAATAAACACCTGCGCCGAGCGCGTGAGAGAAAGGCACCCTTCTCACCCTTAAGTGGGACAATTCCCATGACGCCAAGTACCTTAAATAAAAATCGCCGCCGAGACTCCCTTGTCCGTTGAAGTGCACCTCTGAGAGGACGCTTGGGTTGCCCTGCTTGAAACTGATGCCTTCAAGCCCCACTTAACTTCCCCTCTTACTTCCAGACCTAGAACCAGTTATAAAATAAAACCAGGAGAAGTCTCCCCTTGGAGCCAGCAGCGCGTCTGCCAGGTCCCCCTGGGAAGTCGGACAGCGTTCGGACTTCCCCCAGCGGGAAGGTGTACAGTCTTCCTGCGTTTCTGCTGCTGCCCCAGGCGGCAGTGGCAGCCAGGATGACTAGACCCACAGGGGTCCGTCGCAGTGCCTGTTGGACCATGGTGGTGTTCTCTGGGGTAAAATAGATAGGCAGTTGACTAGAGTGTTGTTTGTTTGAATAACCAGAAAAAAAATTGGGAATTGGTGATCACAAGGCGAACATCAGTTCACAGTGGAAAATCATGCCTCACTCTGTATTTAAATCTGAGCCATGAGACCTGGAGCCACATTGAAAGGGAACTTGGTCCCTTCAGGGGAGGGCCCTGTAGTGCCGCCGCAAGTGTGTACAAAAAGTGCTCCTCTGATCCTTCCCCCAAAGGACCTAGAGCCACTTAAGAAAAGTAAATGATTTGCTCTGAAAAATGGTCTATCCAGACCTTTCATGGGCAGTTAGATACAGGATCTGAGCTGACCCTTATGGCAGCGACTGGTTAGAGGAGGAGTTATGGAAGCAAGATGATAAATGCAATCCTGACCCCAGTCCTGTGGCTACTTCTCTGGCCCCAGGGCATACTTGGGATGACTACACCTAGCGATGGGCAGAGCCTATACCTTGATCCCTGGCCTATGGAATTAGAATCATTACAGTAGGGAGAATAAAGTGAAACTCCGCTCTGCACTCCCACCCCTTCAGGAGAATAAATCAGTATTCCCAGTGGGACTGCAGAGATTGTGTCACTCGAAGACAAAAAGTGATGGTCCCCATTACATCCGCTTCACTTCACTAGAATGGCTGGTGAAAAATCCAGATGGATCCAAATAAATAATGGTGGGTGACCACAAACTCCACAAACTTAGCCAAGTAGTATCCTCACAGCAGCTGAGTTAGATGCTTTATCTTGACTGGAACTGAGTAATGCATCTCTAGCCCTTAGTAATGCAATTATTGATGTGGTGAACATTCTTTTCAATTTCCAGCAGTAAAGAGTAAATTTCCAAAAGCAGTTCACATTTATGTAGGAAGGACAGCCAAACATATTCATTGTCTTGCTTCAAAGTTGTTTTAACTCTCCTGCTCTCTGTTAACAATATAATCCATTGAGACCTTGATCACCTGGACGTTCCACATAACATTGATGGCATCACGCTAATTGGACACGGTAAAGAAGTGCTCTGTCCTTGGTAAGACAATGCATATCAGAGGATGAGAGAGAAACCCTCAAGACTTGTGGAGCCTGTCATTAGTGAAATTTTCTGAAATGCAGTGTTGTAGGGCAAACCAGGGCATCACTTCTAAGATAAGGACAAGTTATTGTATCTTGCATCCTTGTCACAAAGGAGGCATAGCACTTGATGCACCTCTGAATTTTGGAGTCAGCATGTGTCATGCTTGGGAGGACTGTTCTGACCCATTTATTGGGTGACCTGGAAGACTGCCAGTTAGAGGGACCCAGAGCAAAGGAGGGGTCTGTTATGATCCATAATGGAGGATGGGATCCCCTGCCACTCAGCAGAACCAGTGGGTTATGATTGGGCTTATTTGTGAACTCAGGTGTTAGGTCCAGGGGACATAGCTTTATAGAAACAGTTTTTGTTAACCAAATTAGGTAATTATGCTGAATTCCAGGTTGACAAGTTTGTGGGCATAAGAGGCCTGGTAATCTCCACTCAGGGCCTCCTACAACCTATCAGAACCTCTCCCTGTTCAGGCAGACCACCATCACCACCAACTTCAGTGCATTTTTGGGAGGAACTAGTGAAACATGGGAAACCATTCTCACCAAATGCTCCCAAGCCTGGTATTTCCTGGAATGCTTTGCCAGGGGTGTCCCCTTCGCACTTACCACAATAAAAAGAACATTACCTGAGAGTCATGTGTCAGAGAGCTAATTTTTATCAAGGCTCCAATGCAGCCCTATTTGGGACTATGTCATTGGTCCAATGTGAAGACTTGTGTGAAAATATAAAATCTTGTTTTGTATTCGGTTATTATATAACTGTATTTTGGGTGTGTACTTGATATGAAAGAGTGTTTTAAGACATTTAGATTTCAGAGATTGTCGCTATTCTCTAATAGCACCAATCCCTTAAAAAACTCCAACTCTGACTTAGTGTCATAATAGTTCTCCTCATTCGTAGAAATCTATTTTCTGAAAGGTATAACTATTTGTGGATTCTCTTTCTTAAACCAGAAAAAGCATTTTTTATTTTACTGTCTTTTCCTTTAAGAATAACAGTATTGTAAACCCCATGACTTTTGGAGACGAGACTATACCATTTATTTTAGCACCAGGTTATGCTTGCTTTCTGATGGAAATGACCTAGAAGAGAAGGGGAAATTGGTGCTAGAGAGAGGGTTAATTTCAAGCAAAGGACTTGAAAAGGCAATGAGAAAAGTGGAAGGATCAAGAAACCAGAGGTCCGTGGTGGTGTTATAACAGCTCCCAGGTTCTTTGACACTCCTCCCATTGAGAGATGGGGTCTATGGCTTCTCTCTTGAGTCTGGCTGGACTTGTGATTGCTTTGACCAATAGCTATGGCAGAAGTGATTCTATATGACTTCCAAGGCTAGATCAGAAAAGGCCATGCAGGAATTGTCAAACTGGCCATCCTGCCTAAAGCAATCTACAGATTCAATGCAATCCCTATCAAAATACTAACAGCATTCTTAAATGAACTAGAACACATAGTTCTAAAATTCATATGGAAACACAAAAGACTCCAAATAGCCAAAGCAATCCTGAGAAGGAAGAATAAAGTTGGGGGGAGCATTACGCTCATCGACTTCAAGCTCTACTACAAAGCTACAGTCATCAACACAATTTGGTACTGGCACAAGAACAGACCCACAGACCAGTGGAACAGACTATAGAGAGCCCAGCTATATACCCAAGCATATATGGTCAATTAATATATGATAAAGGAGCCATGGGTATACAATGGGGAAATGACAGCTTCTTCAACAGCTGGTGTTGGCAAAACTGGACAGCTACATGTAAGAGAATGAAACTGGATCATTGTCTAACCAAATACACAAAAGTAAACTCAAAATGGATCAAAGACCTGAATGTAAGTCATGAAACCATAAAACTCTTATAAGAAAACATAGGCAGAAACCTCTTGAATATAAACATGAGCTGTACGTGGTGTCACCCATCATTGCTGGGACAATTTAGCATTGTCTGTAAAACTCTACTGGATGAGGACAGCTTGAAGCTTGCCCCTGGCCTCGCTTGGACTCTGCCCTGTGTGCCTTTCTCCTTTGCTGATTTGAATCTGTATCCTTTCACTGTAATAAACCTTACCTGTGAGGAAGGCAAAAAAAAAAAACAAAAAAAAAACATGAGCAACTTTTTCCTGAACGCATCTCCTTGGGCAAGAGAAACAAAATAAAAAATGAACAAATGGGACTACATCATGCTAAAAAGCTTCTGTACAGCAAAGGACATTATCAGCAGAACAAAAAGGCATCCTATAGTGTGGGAGAATATATTTGTAAATGACATATCCGACAAGGGGTTAACATCCAAAATATATGAAGAACTCACACACCTCAACACCCAAAAAACAAATAACCCTATTAAAAAATGAGTGGAGGATATGAACAGACACTTCTCCAAAGAAGAAATTCAGATGGCCAACAGGCACATGAAAAGATGCTCCACATCACTAATTATCAGGGAAACACAAATTAAAACCACAATGAGATATCACCTCATGCCAGTTAGGATGGCCAACCTAGAAAAGACTAGGAACAACAAATGCTGGTGAGGACATGGAGAAAGGGGAACCCTCCTACACTGCTGGTGGGAATGTAAATTAGTTCAACCACTGTGGAAAGCAGTATGGAGGTTCCTCAAAAAACTAAAAATAAAACACCACTTGACCCAGGAATTCCACTCCCAGGAATTTACCCTAAGAATGCAGTTTCCCAGTTTCAAAAAGACATATACACCCCTATGTTTATCGCAGCACTATTTATAATACCCATGATATGGAAACAACTTAAGTGTCCATCAGTAGATGAATGAATAAAGAAGATGTGGTACATATACACAATGGAATATTATTCAGCCATAAGAAGAAAACAAATCCTACCATTTGCAACAACATGGATGGAGCTAGAGGGTATTAGGCTCAGTGAAATAAGCCAGGTGGAGATAGACAAGTACCAAATGATTTCACTCATCTGTGGAGCATAAGAACAAAGAAAAAAACTGAAGGAATAAAACAGCAGCAAACTCACAGAACCCAAGAAGGGAGTAACAGTTAACAAAGGGAAAGGGACTGGGGAGGGTGGGTGGGTGGGAAGGGAGGGAGAAGGGGAATAAGGGACATTACGATTAGCACACATAATGTTGGGGGGGCACAGGGAAGGCAGTATAGCACAGAGAAGACAAGTAGTGACTCTATAGCATCTTACTACGCTGATGGAAGGTGACTATAATGGGGTGTGTGGTGGGGACTTCATAATGGGGGGAATCTAGTAACCACAGTGTTGCTCATGTAATTGTATATTAATGATACCAAAAAAAAAAAAGGCCATGCAGCTTCCACCTGGCCCTCCTAGGGTACTTCCTCTGGGGAAATCCATCCATCATGTAAGAATTCCAACTACACTGAGACCACCATGCTGGAAGGCCAGGTGCAGGTGCTGGTTGACAGCCCTGGCTGAGCTCCCAGTCAACACTCAGTATCAACTGCCAACCTTGTAAGTGACTATCATTGTGATCGTGGATGTCCAAGCCAGCTGACCTCAGACTGCATGAGAACCTCAGACAGGAACTTTCCATTGGAGTCCTTCACAAATTTATGACCGCAAAACTGTAAGCAGAATAAAATGGTTTAATCCACTAAATTTGGCAATTACTTGCTCATAATAATAACAAGTATAACTCGAAAAACTTATGGAGCAAGGAACTGTGGATATCATGGTGATAGAGTAAGAAAGCAAGAAAAACAGGAGGTGGTAGAGAATTAGATGCTTAAAATCAAGATTCAGGAGATGGTGAAGTTATTGCTTATGACAGTTTTCCCAACAAGTTATGGCTCTTAGGCTTTTCATCTTTATTATATATTTCTGTTCACAATTTTAGCCATTGGCAGTTTTATTTTATGCTTGTGATTTCAATGTTGTATGAACAGGACGAAAGACCGTTTGCATTTATTTTCTCGTTTATGAGAAAATTGTCAGAAAATGTCCTCTCACTCTTTAGGATTGCTCTGAGGTCAGGATTGCTGAAACTGTGTTGATGTTCTAATATTTCCATGTAAGTCCAAACAACTTCATGTTTTGTACTAACTGTCTGTACCATTAGTGGACCATAGAGCAAAGTATAAAAATGGTGGAGTCAAACCCTTAATTTGTCTTTTAGGAGAAGGAAAGGGAGTCTGGAAGGACACTGACACTGGGTAGTCAGGAAGACAGAAGGAAAACCAGTAGCACATGGGGCCCACAAGCTGAGGGAAGAAAAGCTTCGAGGATTGGTCAGCCCCCCGTGGATCTCGGCTCTTTCATCCATACAAGGATGCTGTAATTAAATGAGGTAACACATGTAAATTTGATGAAATGTGCCAGACGTAAGGTGCATAAACCATTCAAGAGATTTTGTCTTTTCATCAATGCATTTCCTGAGCTGGAAAGAGCAGAGTACTGAGGGGTTGGGAGGAAAATGGGCTCTGTGTGAGCCGCAAGGGGAGGAGGAGCGTCGGGTGATTGTGAATAAGAGCTAGGGCCCGCGCCTGCGGCTTTGCATGTCATCTTGTGGTCCTCACAGCATCAGTGCACAGATGAGGAAGCTTAAGGCCATAGGACTAAGTAACTTGCCCTTGTTCAGAAAGTTGATGGCAAGATAAAGATTGGTACCTCGGTCTCTCAGACCCTAAGGCTAGTTGTTGGTTCAGTGTGCTCTGGGGACACATAGAAGTGGAGTGGACAGACAACTGGAGGTGGAAGCCCCTACTTCATGACCTTTATACTCCAGGAATTTGGGGGCAAATCATCGGATAAAAGGGAGAGAAGGAAGGGGAGGGGCTTGAGCAGGGTTGTGGAAGTGATGATCTGTGATGGGATTTAGGAATATAAAGCTTCAAGGTTGGTGCGATCCCAGGTGGAGAATCCCGAAGCTCTTTCTGGAAGAGGTAACTGGAGTTGAGAGTCAAAGACTTGACGAATCAGAGGTCAAGGAACCAACTGACCAGGGTGTTGGATCATTTATGTGGATTACAAAGTCCACCACTTTGATGACAAGACTAAGGCTTGAAAGGAAATCTGGGAAGCTGGGGTCAAAATGCTGCGAATTCTAGGAAGAGATGTGGAGTTTTGTGGGAAAGTCAGGGAGTGGTTACTATGTCCAGACCCCTTGAACCTCAGAAATGGGGAATGTTCCGTTCCTAGTGCTCCTGAAACTGAAAAGACAGCATGATGACAAGGACTTAATGCCCCAGACCTGGTAGAGCCCATATAACCCCTCTCATTTATTCACATATTCATTCACATATTTACTGAGCACCTACTGTGTGCCAGGCAATGTGTTTGGAGCATGGAGGTCCAAAGAGAGCCTAAGATAGTGTTTCTGCTCTTCTGCAGCTTTCAGTCACTAGGAAGGGAAAAATAAACAAATAAATGTCACTCTTAGAAAAACACTAATTGAGATAAAATGTAAATTACGGTTGGGGTACAACCTGTCACTGGCCTAGGCCTTCCCTCTGGGCAAAAATGATTGCCACACAGAGCGGTGCCCCTCTTCCCATCTTACATGAGCTCCTGCCCTGTGGTTTCCTCGCATTAACCACTGGTATGCCTCATCCTTCCCTTAGAAACAATTTTCCACAGAAATAATTTAGACAAAGAAATGTTTGGGCACATAATTCCCATTAAGGAAAACAAAGGATGATTTTATTTCACTCTTGTTGAAACTCCAGGCTCATTCGGTCAAATCCGCACAGTCCCCCTAACCTGCCCCTGCAAACCTGCCTTTATCAACGGTATTCTCGACCCTGGTCGCCCTTCCCGCGCTCCAGCGCCAGCTGATCCTGACCTGATCGGACTCCCGGGGCTCAATTTCAACATCACTCCCCCAACACAGCTCGACATCATCAAGCCAGAATATGTCGGTAACCTAAAGTTGGTGCTCAAGAAACAGTATTTCCAGTGGAATGAACATGATCTCAAGGTTATAACCTCACCCAACGCCCATCAGTGCCTCTGCTCGGCCTGTGCGGTCGGTACTGTGCACTGAAGGCTCAGTCTTTGCCCGGCCGGTCAGCGTCCTGTGCATGGCACACTCCGATCCAGCGCGGATCAGCACGCCCGGGGGAACAGCTCCTCCGGCTTGGATCCGCACCGCGCGGGAAGCGCTCCTGCAGCCCGGCCGGCACGCGGTGCGCAGCGGCCGCCGCCGGCCCGATCAGCACCCCGGGGCGGACAGCGCCCCGTCCCCGCGCCCTCCGACCCCGGCTGTTCTGCCCTGACTCCTTGGGACGTCGGCGCAGCTCCCGGGCCGCACCCACCCCCCTGTGAGCCCCTTCCCCCCGAAAAAGCCCCAGTTAGCCCCAAGTCTGCGGACCCCGGCCGCCGCCTTCCTGCGCGTCCCGCCGCAGGGCCTCCGCGCGAACCGGAGCCCCCGCGCCCGCCCCCCGGGAAGGCCGAAACCCGACTCTTCCCCGCCGCGCCCCTCCGTCAGGCCGGCTTCGCCAACCAGCGTCCCCGCCGCCGCCCCCCCCACTCCCGCCTCCCTCCCCGCCCTCCCCCTGCGGCGCTGCCGCCCGCGCTGCGCGGCGTCCGGGCCGGGGTCGAGGTGTGTCGCGGGCGGGGTGTCGCAGGGCGTGTCACGAGGTGAGCGGGGGGGGCCGCGGGCCGCGGGAGGGAGCGCCCAGGGCCGCGCGGGGCTGCAGCTCCGCGCCCCCTCCCCCCGCCGCAGTCGGCAGGCCTTTCCCCGGAGAAGATGGCGGATCGGGCGGAGATGTTTTCTCTTTCCACCTTCCATTCGCTGTCGCCACCGGGCTGCAGGTACGCACTCCGGCGCCCCGGGCCCTAGCAGGCCCTTGCCTTTCCTCGGCCCCCCACCCTGACCCAGCCCCCAGGCTCCCCCGACCAGGTCCTTCCACCTCTCCCCCGTCGCCTTTGGAGACCTGAGCCCCGGGCCCCGGTGGGGCCCCGAGCCCTGCTCCCCGCCCCCCACTTCCTCTCCCCCCACTCGGGGGCTTTTCATTTTTGTCCTCCGCATATCCCGTCCTCCAGCCCCAGTAACCACCCCCCCGACTTCCGGCCAGGATCCAGCGCCGCACCCAGCCTGGGCAGCTGACCCTACGGGGTGGCGATCCGAGCCCGTCCCCGGAGAAGAGTCTCTCTGGGCAGGGCGCTGAGCACGCGCCCCGCCTGGCACTGCCCTTTAAGTCTTGTGGGCCTCTCCTCGGCGGCAGCCTGGCCTGGCCGGTAGCGCCCGGGGAGGGCGGGAGAGAAATCCCTGCCTAAGGCCCTGGGGGAAGGGCCCGGCGCGGGGAGAGCGCGGACCTCCCGGAGCCGGCCAGCCCCGGCTGGAGGGGGAGCCCCAGCGGCCGGACCCTGCTCCCAGAACAGGCCCCCCCACCCGTCTGCTGCTGCGGTTTCAGCCCCTCCTCCCCGTGCTGTGCGCTCAGCCTGTCTCCCCTGAGGCCCAGGCCGAGCCCCAGCGGGACCTCGAGCTGAACGTGTCGGGCGGAGAGGCTGCTGACTCTCTGAGGGCGGAGGGCTGGGGGAAGGGGCCTCCCTGGCTGCTCAGGGCTCCTACGGTGAGGAGAAGCCGTTGGACGGCAGAGCGTGGGGGATGGCAGAGGGCCGGGTGTCCCCGTTAGCCCCCCTTGGGACCGGCTTCCGGGCCGGGAGTCCAGAGCTGGGCCCCCTCGGGAGCCCTGGCCCTGTCCCCTGACCACGGTCTCCTCTCCAGGCCTCCCCAGGACATAAGCCTGGAGGAGTTTGACGACGAAGACCTGTCCGAGATCACCGATGACTGCGGCCTGGGCCTCAGCTACGACTCAGACCCCTGCGAGAAGGTGGGAAGCCTGGCGCATAGAGCCCCCCCCCAGGGAGAGCCTCCCTGGCGCTCTGCTCGGCGTTCCCTTGGGGTTCACGGGGGGTCTGGGCCCAGCCTCAAATAGGAAACCCCTCTGATGGCTCCTCCCTCTTGCCCTCTGGCCTGTGGTCCTCCTTGACGTCAGACTCCTCTCATAGACCCCAGGCCCTCTGCTGAGTGTCTCCCCAGCGGTCCTGCGGGACCCCCGTCACGGGCTACTTAAGGGGAGGGGAGGAGCACCTGTGGTGCCCTCTGTGCTCAGACCCCATCCCAGAGAGGTCTGACCCCTCCAGCCGCCCTCCCTCCGTGTCTGCCCCTCAGCCCTGTCCCCACCTCTCACGCTTCTCTCTCTGCCTCAGGTCTCTGTCCCTGAAATCTTTTTTCCCCCCATTCCCTGCTTCTCTCCTCCCTGTCTTTCCACTTGCCTGTTTTCATTCTTTCAAGAACATTTCTGAGCAACTGCCATGTGTCAAGTGCTGGGGGCTTCCAGGTGATGGAGAAGAGGACAGGACAGGTGTGGTGCATGACCTAGTAGCAGAGAAAGACGTGTGTGAGGCAGTGGCTGCTTGAGTGCCAAGGGCTGGACCCCAGCAGGAGGACAGAGTGCAGTGAGGGGGAAGGCAGTCCAAGTAAGACCAAGGCCATCAGGGAGATCTTCCAGTGGAAATGGCACACCACCGTGCCCCTAGGGAAGGGAGCAGAACCAGGCAGACGAGGGAGGTCGGCGGGAATGGAGGCGCTGCTGGCAAAGGGATTAACCCTGTCACGGGCCCTGAGGTCGAGGCAGGCTGGGTGAGTCCTGGCTACCAGCTGTCGTCCTTCGTGCCCTCATTCGACACTCACTGAGCATGCTCCGTGGGCTGGGCCCTGTTTCCAGGGGCGGGGAGCACCTGCGCACAGCCCGAACGTGGCTCTGCCCTGGCAGGGCTTGCAGCTTGGTAGGGGGGGCAGGGGACAGACCAGAAACTCTTTAGTCATTGTGAATTGCGTTAGAATTCCGTGCAGGCGTCAAATGTGACAGGGTTTGGGGATGAGATGAGACCGGCAGGTGGGTTGGGGCGACTCTCAGACTCTGCCACCCGGGCTTAGGAGTTTGCTCTCTTACCAAGAACTGGAACGATCCTTGTGTATCTCAGGCAGATTAAAACAAAACAAAAAAACTGTTTTTGTTGGTGGGAAGCAGAGTGAACCGGAGGCTCCCCTCCTTGGTGTCCCCTTCCGCGGCCCCGGGGACCCGAGCTGCTGTGGCACTGTGCCAGCTCTGCCCTGTCCTTCCTTCCTGCAGGACGGCCTCTCCCTAGGGCGCCCGGAGCAGCCACACCCCATCTGCTCCTTCCAGGATGACTTCCAGGAGTTTGAGATGATCGACGACAACGAGGACGAGGACGAGGAGGACGAGGACGAGGACGAGGAGGGGGAGGAGGAGGAGGGGGGCCCTGGCTCTGCGGCCCCTGCCCCCGAGGCCCCGTTTCCCAGCCCCTCCCCGGAGGAGCCCCACAAGCACCGGCCCACCACGCTCCGCCTGCCCCCGCTGGGAGCCCAGGTGCGCCCAGCCCCGCAGCCCCCGGAGGCAGCCCGACCCCCGCCGGCGCTGCCCCCCGGGCCCCGTCCCTCCCGCCCCCCGAGCGGCGCCCCCCTCAGCGCCCGCCCTCCCCGGTGTCTCCAGGACTCCCTGAACAACAACGGAAGCTTCGCCCCTGCGCCCCCAGCGTCCTGGCAGGAGACCGGGCTCCGCTCGCCCCGCCGGGAGGCCCCCACCGGTGAGCGCAGGGGGTGGGTGGCGGCGGGCACGGAGGCGCGCTGGCTGACGCACCCCTGTGTTCGCAGAGCCGCCCGGGCACGCAGGCTGCGACGACGACGGGAACCGGCCGGGGGAGCCCCTGGCGCCCCAAGGTGGGGCCTCGCCCTCCTCAGACCCGGGCATCGAGGCCGACCTGGGCAGCCGCTCCAGCGGAGGCCGCGGGGGCAGGCGCAGCAGCCAGGAGCTGTCGTCGCCCGGCTCCGACTCGGAGGGGGAGGCCGGGCAGGCGGGGCGCGTGCGGGGCGCGCCCCCGGGCCGCATGATCTCGTCCATCTCCGAGACGGAGCTGGAGCTGAGCAGCGACGGCGGCAGCAGCAGCGGCCGCTCCTCGCACCTCACCAACTCCATCGAGGAGGCCTCCTCGCCCGCCTCCGAGCCCGAGCCCGAGCCCGAGCCCCCGCGCCGGCCCGCCTTCCTGCCCGTGGGCCCCGAGGACACCAACAGCGAGTACGAGTCGGGGTCCGAGTCGGAGCCGGACCTCAGCGAGGACGCCGACTCGCCCTGGCTGCTCAGCAACCTCGTGAGCCGCATGATCGCCGAGGGCTCCTCGCCCGTCCGCTGCCCCGGCCAGTGCCTGTCCCCCGCGCTGCGCCCCTCGGGGGGGCTGGTGTCGCCGGCCGGCGAGGCCCCCGAGGCGGCCGCGGGGCCGGGCGGCGTGGAGCTGGTGGACATGGAGACGCTGTGCGGGCCGCCACCCCCTGCGCCCCCCGGGCCCCGGCCGGGCCCCGCGCAGCCCGGGCCCTGCCTCTTCCTTAGCAACCCCACCCGCGACACCATCACGCCGCTCTGGGCTGCTCCCGGCCGCGGCGTCCGCCCGGGCCGCCCCTGCTCGGCCGCCTGCTCGGAGGACGAGGACGAGGAGGAGGACGAGGAGGACGCCGAGGGCCAGCTGGGCCCCCCCGGCACCCGGGCCGCGGGCCCCGCCGCCGCGCTGGACGCCTCGCTGGTGTACGACGCGGTCAAGTACACCCTGGTGGTGGACGAGCACACGCAGCTGGAGCTGGTGAGCCTGCGGCGCTGCGCCGGCCTGGGCACCGGCAGCGAGGACGACAGCGCCGGCGAGGCCAGCGAGGAGGAGATGGGGGCCACGCCGCTCGGTGGCGGGCAGGCCGCAGGGGACGCCTCCCCGGACAGCCCCGGCCTCACCTTCTCCAAGAAGTTCCTCAACGTCTTTGTCAACAGCACATCCCGGTCTTCCAGTGAGTGGCCGGCGGGGCACAGGCAGCCCCCAGAGAGCCGGGGCCGAGGACGCCTGGGGGTGGGCAGGGCCGGGCGCCCCACTCTGACCCAGAGTATGGGCCTGAAGCTTTCCGCAGACCCCCGGGGTGGGGAGAGGGCCGCCCTGCCTCCGCCCCACGGGCTGGCGCCTCCCTCCGTCCCCACGCAGGGCCACCC